AACTGGGGGGGGCGGGGGTTATAAAATTGTGCTTTAGGTACAATTTTGCCAGATCTTTGGAATTTTGAAAAATCTTCTGGGTGTGGGTTAAGAGAAGGCAAACACGCCACACCCACACCCCATTACGATTTTCAATATTCAAACGGGCGCAGAAGAATAAAACAGCCAATGGAAAAAGTGCTATCTGATGAAGATGAGCCAGATGATAACAATGAATTTTAAGCCACACAAAAGTATCTTAACAGAGATACCTAAGTCCTTTCAGAAGCAGAGTGAATAAGAATAATCAAACACTGCATATAAATCCAACGGTCCTCTTGAAGACCAAGGAACGAAAGACTAACCGCCCAGAGTCCTGCCTATTCTACTGGTAGTGGCTGCACAGCGTCCTGGGAGGAGAAAGACTGTCATTTTGACAATGAATTACGGACTACTATCTGACCAATTAGTCAGTATTGATTGCCTGATATTATCATGGGAACATCCTTAAAGGTGTTCCACTTTTAAAGAGTGTGCAGCAGCTCGGCGAAATCCTTAACAAAAATAACCTTTCATACTATTTTGTGCTCAACATAAGATCTAAATAGTTTTTTCTTTCTGTCCATTGACAAATCCGTTCATAAAAACCAACTTCAACTTTTGACACTCCAGTCCATCCACTTCGATTGTATTTCATTTAACCGCAGTGAAAGTAGGATTCTATTTCTACTAGAAATGAAATAGACTTCTTTCTCGACAAGTTTTTCAGCACACATATTTTCGCACATAGCGACATCTAACGATAGCGAAGCAAAAAATGCGACATTGGACACAAAATTTAAAAATTGTGATATTGCTAAAAGAAAGCTGATTATATGAGTAAATTTTCAGGAAAGTTTGAGCGATGGGTGTTTTTTTTAGATAATGCCAGAGAAAAGTCTCATGTATATATAATTTAGTTATACCCCCACGATTTTGCTTACACTTTTTTCAATAACTAGGAATTTTTAAAGAAAGCAGAAGTTATACAGAGCGATAGAGTTTTTAATGCTAATTCTAAATATGTAATTATAATTGTATTAATGATCTCCTATGCAAAAAACACTAAAAATCAAGAGCCAATATATGACCCAATTTTATCCTATTACCTGGTTGTAGAGAAAAAAGTCTACCGCGACAAGTAAGAGTTCTAATGAAAAAACTGAAGCGAATAGATATGAGACAAGGTCTAAGATATAAAATAATGGAATGAAAATATAATGTTGACGGCGTGACAAATTCTTGATCTTATCGTGTGAGGTCCTTTCTGCAGTAGAATCGGTAAACATCCAACACTAGGGATCCTTGAGTCATTCCGTTTCAGTCAGTGCTCATTGAGGCACTGAGGGTCGCTGATGTTCGGGACACCGACCGCACCGACATTGGTGTTCACTGAAATACTGGCACACAGGTAGCTTCTAGTTAACTAAAGTATACTTTGACGGATGCAGTGGCTCAGTATACCAGGGGGAACACCGATGTCGGTGCGGTCAGTGTTTCGAACATCAGTGATCCTCAGTACCTCAATGAGCATTGCCTGAACTATTCAATGCTTTCCGTGAAATCGGTGTCAGTGGAATCAGCATGTCAGTGACACGGATTATAGTGCAGTTGGTGAGCAGTTCTTCAGTATTTACACTGGCACTGCATATCCCTATACTCAGAGATACAGTTTTCTTCGATAAAAAATTGTTCGTAATACTTATGATTTCCAGATTACCTCGCCGTATAGATATCAAACATTGCCAGTCTTTATCAAGAACACTTCAATCCTATGCATATAGGTCGGAATTCTGCGATGTGCTTTGCATTATGGTCTTTGGCAGGACTTTTTCTGTTTGTGATAATTGAATTGGATTGGAAGAATGAAAACCGAAAAATAGTTTATACTGCTCTAAATTCATTCCAAATTAATAGAGGCAACTCTAATGAACATGAAAAGTATCAAGTGGAGTTGGATAATGACGTGATCTTCTTAATTATGACAGGTAAACCGCATCAGGATCGTCGAGTTTCGTTGCAACAGCAAACTTGGATGCAGTATACAGCCAAGACGTTTATATTCAGTGAAACAGCAAGCACGCTATTGCCTTTGATAGTACTTCCTAACATTAGCGATTCGTATGCTACTGCTGGTCCTAAGTTTTGGGATGCCTTACAATGGGCTTGGAAAAAATTCGGTCATAAAACAAAATGGTTTGTTAAAATAGATGACGATACATTTGTTAATGTCCAGGAAGTATGGAAGCTATTGAAAAGAAAAGATGCCACAAAACTTCGCGTAGTTGGACGATGCGCAGTGTTTTCGCCTCCAAAGTCGGACATCCCGAAGGGAGGATTGCCAAACGAATGGACTTTTGTGGACGGAGGGGCTGGTATGTTTATTAATAGCTATACCATGCAGCTACTAAATGCTTATGGCTTTCTAAACAAATCTAATGTCCTACAGCGCCATGGTGAAAAACTTTTTGAAGTTCAGGATACAGTTTTTGGGGAAATCCTCACAGAAATTGCGCATAGAGAAGCATATCGCCATAAAATAAACTTCACTTCACCGTTCGACTGCGAAAATGAACGCTTACAGCATGCATGCAACCCGAATCATTTTGAAACAACGCACTGCTTGAAATTGCCATGCGTCACACTGCATAGGTGTAGAGAACAATTGATGTTATATTGGCATGAACAATTTCACTCCAACATTCCAAGTCCCCAAAGTAGCACAGAGGAGAATAAATAAATTTTTAATGCCATGGTAGAAAATTTCCAATTATCAGCGGCATTCGTATGTATCATAGTCAAGGCTTTAACCGATTAGTTGGCTTTTCTTTGTTTTTGTTGTACAAGGAAAATTCACCTAATTGATGAATGCATGATGGCAATGAATAATAAAACAATTCAGATTTTAAGACGACCTACATTGTAATTAATACATAAATCTACGTATAATTTTCTTACTGCTAAGGTAATCCCTACCTGACCTCTCTAATATTTTTTTCAATATTACTGCAACCAAAACATGGCAAGAAACATTCGTCGCCTCGATACACTTGGCCCTCGATTGAATAAGGAAGAAATATTTTCTGTAAATACTGATAACGATAGAACCGATTTATCAATTCCATCTCTCAACAACAACGTAAATTTCTCTCGGTTTGTATACCTGCAAGAGACGGTTTCATTTGTTTCTGAAATAATTTAAGATAAACCTAATTTTTCAACTAAAACGTGCAAACAAAGCAAATTATCTATTCGAAGTCAACATTAATTAGTAAACTCTTTTGAGTCAACAAATAACCTTGAGGGTGGGTGTGGGTTAAGAAAAGACAAACACCCCACGCCCACACCCTATATTTAGCGAGTTGCTCGTTTATTGATCTTTTCCTTTTGGATGTGATGGTTTTTGACCAACTTTTGAATACCGCTTTTTCCATTAGATAAAACTTCATCATGATAAAGATGAGAACACTAAATGTGTGATTTACCAAGCATAATAATTAATGAGTTTGACAAGTGGCCAAAAACAGTTAAGTAAGTAATATCTTATGTATATAGTAGAACAAACGAAGACGAATCATACGTTTTTCTTTACGAACCCTGGAGTCTTACTAATACCAAAGCGCTTCCTTTTGTATTAATACATATATTGTCGATTGATCTTTAACCTAATCAAAACATTTCTCGTTTCAAACGGCTACCATCATTTATAATAGTAATTCTTAACAAATACTTCACCGAAATAAAGTAAACACACATCGATTTTTAAATTATAAACATTGAGATATAAGAATTTTCAACAAACGTTCTCTCTAGAATTTGAATTACGGAGAACGTTAATTAAAATGAATCGATCAAGGCCTTATTTTAGATTATTTCGTTTTTAAAATAATTCTACGACCTTTTCCATTTATCACCCGTTACATGCGTATCACATAGGATCAAAACACTATTTGATGGGTCCTTAGAGTTCATGCATATTGTACAGATTCTAATGCAGTTTTCCATGCACAATCTGAATATATTTTCAGACTTAGAATTTAAACAAATGTTAAGATGTTATCAGTTTCGTTTCTTGTGAAAAAATTCATTTGTTTATACAAAATAATCGTAGCGGAAAAACATATGCTTCTATTATTTCACTTATACATTCATGAAAATAGAGTTGAATATTCAATAATTTAGAACCAAAATGCTCGGCGTTAAAAGCTCTACAAGTCTCGAACATTCTAAGAAATTTGGATATATTTATTAAAGCAAAATACGTAATTAGATTTGCCTGATAAATTCAGGAAAATTAACTAAAAAATTGTCATCGAAAATAGTTTGACGCTCGTTCGCTTCAACATTACAGTCGGAAAGAAAACTAACAAGTGCATGTTGTAGAGCAAGTTTCGCTCTATCCAACTGCTAGTGCCACTATTTCCATGAATTCTGATTTTCAGATCGAATTTTTCAAACACTGCACATCTCCTTAGCGACCCAGTGGGCCGTAAAAATGTCGTCAAAATGGTTTTAATTCCTGCGGATTCTGATGCAGTTTTTCACGAGGGATCTGAATATGTAGTTGGTTTTAAAAGCCGAGCACAAAAAAGTGAGACTTTCATCGCTATTTCGAAACAAAATTCATCCCTTTTTGTATTTTACCTGTATCTTTCGGAAAACAAAGCTTATTTGAAAACGATTGTTACCAAAATGGTCAGTAAGAATTCTCTACAAACCCTAAAAGTTTCAACAAATTTGGAAGTGGTCGCCGGATTGACCTGGCGACATCCAGTGGAGTGTCCCATGTGCGAATTTAGCCACGATCGAACCTAACCCGTTTTTGCGCATGCTCCCCTTTCAGGAGAGGGAATAATTTGGAAAAAAACGAATTTTGGACTCCGAGGCATATATTGGAAGTATATTGGATAAAAGTTGATAAAATGTCGTTATTTCCGTCAGCATCGCTTTCCTATATGAGAAAAGCAATTGGCGGAAGCCCTGTGGGATTAACTTGTAATGTACTATTCAACTGCTTCTTGAAACTGGTCTACCACACTCTGTGAGGATCTTCGGAACCCGTCCATTACGGCCTGAGAGAGTATGTCGGATTGGTGCATATTTCTACATTATATATTTCAATACTCGTTTCAGATCGTGTTTCACAAGAATCAAACTCAAAAATAACGAGAAAGCGACTACAGCTTTGGTGCATTGAATCCGAGAACTTGCGGTCAGGCTGTATACCAAAGTCGGTAAGCGAGGATGCTTGAGCATGTGCCTTGATCGGTGCGAGCAAATATACAGCAGTGAAGATGCGTTTTTTTTCATATGAGCTTCTATTTAGTCAATGACAGAATGCCGATCGATATTAACTTCTTGAGGCACACCATATTTGCCAGCAGGATCATAAGTTCTTTGTCTCAAAGATTTATCTAATTCGCCAATAACCTCAATTTGCGAAGTCTGGCACCCAAGTGGCGGATCTGTCCACCAGTCGATTAGCTTGGGGCTATTTATTATGATGTGATTTATTAGTCAATCAGCCCATTGATATCGTGTAGGGACTGTTTTCAAAGCATGAATCATCATTTTAGCAGCGCAGGGTGTCATTCCATACATATGCGAGCACCGACCACAGAAGTATGTTCGATATGGGGAGATTTTGGGAACTTCAATCAAGCTATACATTTCCATGCCTGGAGTCGCTGCATTCAGGCATGTACCGAAATGAAAGATACCCTCTGTTAAAATTGGATTTTTAAGCAGTTCATCCATCGTAAGGTTTTCCCTGTTGTCAAAATTGGAACAACTAGTTTGACTTCGATCAGCCTTAATAAGTTTGCGTTTGGCAGCTTCAGATATGAACCGATTAAATTTTTCCTTCAGAAAGGGTTCATTCTTTAAGAACGTTCCATAAAAAAAACAATGGTGAATCGCTGTTTATATCAGCACCGTTCAACACATCACTCTAGCGAAATATAACTGCTTGTGCCTAAAATGTAGCAATTTTCAACCGTCACGGGGCGTGGTTTTGAGCGTGAAGAGAGAGAAGAACACGCCTATCCGCACCCACACCCACACCCACCCACACCCACACCCTCAAGTATTGGTTGGTATTGGTAGATCTTCATTATGAAAATTGGCCATCTTTAGGAGTCTCCAAATGGTATTGTTACATCTCTAGGTATATTCATTTCAATGAAAATAAACATAAGGAAATGAATTTGCTTTCTTTATTTTAGATCAAATCGATTCTCCTGATTAGGACTATAACAGTTCGCAGTTCAGTTCAGTTCAAACGAACTGTTCGAACAGTTCGTCTGAACTGAACTGAGCTGAACTGTTTGAACAGTTCAGTTCAGTTC